GCGATTTTCTCTGGTCCCAAATTAGAGCCTGTGTTAATGTATATAAAATAGACCAAACCCGGATATAAGAGACTTCATCTCCGGTCCCGACAACTCTCTTATATCCGGGTTACATTGTATTTAGAATTACTATTACAGTTGCTGTTGTGTTTATTTTACATTGTGTTTAATTTTTTGTTGCATATTCTAAATAACAAAAAAAAAGTATAATTTCACTCATCATATATTTAGGTTTTATTCCAATTCTAATCATCGCTTTTTAAAACAATAAACATTGCCGAAGAGTTAAGGTAGATGAATTATACATTTAGGTTTTATTCCAATTCTAATCATCGCTTTTTAAAACAATAAACATTCGAAGAGTTAAGGTAGATGAATTATACATTTAGGTTTTATTCCAATTCTAATCATCGCTTTTTAAAACAATAAACATTGCCGAAGAGTTAAGGTAGATGAATTATACATTTAGGTTTTATTCCAATTCTAATCATCGCTTTTTAAAACAATAAACATTGCCGAAGAGTTAAGGTAGATGAATTATACATTTAGGTTTTATTCAATTCTAATCATCGCTTTTTAAAACAATAAACATTGCGAAGAGTTAAGGTAGATGAATTATACATTTAGGTTTTTCAATTCTAATCATCGCTTTTTTAAAACAATAAAGATTGAAAGTTAAGGTAGATGAATTATACATTTAGGTTTTATTCAATTCTAATCATCGCTTTTTAAAACAATAAACATTGCCGAAGAGTTAAGGTAGATGAATTATACATTTAGGTTTTATTCCAATTCTAATCATCGCTTTTTAAAACAATAAACATTGCCGAAGAGTTAAGGTAGATGAATTATACATTTAGGTTTTATTCCAATTCTAATCATCGCTTTTTAAAACAATAAACATTGCCGAAGAGTTAAGGTAGATGAATTATACATTTAGGTTTTATTCCAATTCTAATCATCGCTTTTTAAAACAATAAACATTGCCGAAGAGTTAAGGTAGATGAATTATACATTTAGGTTTTATTCAATTCTAATCATCGCTTTTAAAACAATAAACATTGCCGAAGAGTTAAGGTAGATGAATTATACATTTAGGTTTTATTCAATTCTAATCATCGCTTTTAAAACAATAAACATTGCCGAAGAGTTAAGGTAGATGAATTATACATTTAGGTTTTATTCAATTCTAATCATCGCTTTTAAAACAATAAACATTGCCGAAGAGTTAAGGTAGATGAATTATACATTTAGGTTTTATTCCAATTCTAATCATCGCTTTTTAAAACAATAAACATTGCCGAAGAGTTAAGGTAGATGAATTATACATTTAGGTTTTATTCCAATTCTAATCATCGCTTTTTAAAACAATAAACATTGCCGAAGAGTTAAGGTAGATGAATTATACATTTAGGTTTTATTCCAATTCTAATCATCGCTTTTTAAAACAATAAACATTGCCGAAGAGTTAAGGTAGATGAATTATACATTTAGGTTTTATTCCAAGAAAACAGGAAGACTGAATGCAATTAAATAAAAGCGGTATCATGGGGAGGAAAAAAAACGCCCTTTTGACACTTCGTCATATTGCGGACATTTTTGTCGAACAATCGGTACTCGATATACCCGGTGTAACAGTAAAATTGTTCAAATCGTGTAACAGTATAATTATCGCCCACACAAAATGTTTTTTCAGGTTTTCAGATGAGACATTTAGCCATCTTGACACATTTTTTTGTAAGAATCACTGAAAAACGCTTTGAGTTATTCAGTTAAAAAGAGAACAGGTTAAAATTGATTTGTGTTAGACCCACTGTCTTCCGAACTGAGCAATGGTAAGAGGAAAAAAAAGTTCATGCAGGCCTTCAGTAATGCTACCAACATTCATACTCTGGTATGAATTGGTAGATGATAAATATTGTAAGTTTTAATTGTATTAGTTTTAGAATATTAAATTATTCTTCTAAATTCAAAATCCAATAAATAAATAATGTATGGAGTAGAAATGGAAGGTCTTGGGATTGCTATGAGTTTGAATTTGTTATCAGAAGGTTTTTATATTAAGATGGTTAGTTTACGGATATGTTCACCATATTAATCCACAACAATATAGAATATAGACATTCAAAAACGAATCAATCACAAGGCAATTGAGTAAGAAACACCGATTATGAGATTTCAATAAAACAACATGCATTTATGTACAATTAATATACAATTTGAAAACTTGTAGTTTGATAATGCAAGAAATTGACCATTGATAAATTGGGTTTCTTATTGATTTACAGTTCGAAATTGTTCAAGTGTTTAAGAACTGGTCAAACAGAGTAAAATGGAAAACATTATTTAAACAGAAATTTGTGCAGTTTGTATGCGTGAATAAAGTAGGAGT